ATGATGATGATGATGATGATGATGAATGAGTGAAGACGATATGTTCACTATCATTCTTCGTACGATTTATAGTAAAATTAATATAATTGAACACCGTGTACATGTAAAATCATATTGATTACCACTTCGTTTAATAATTAATATAGGGATACAAAACAGTTAATAACAATAATGGTTATAATCGACATCATTTTAATAGTTTAGAAGTAATAACATTGATCTAGAAAGAATAACAAAACCAACTAGCATAAAAGTTTATTTGATGATCTACATTGTAATGTTTTTTTGTATCCTCATAACTCTGAACTATTGCTCTATGGAGAACAATTAATTCTTGTTTTATTTTCTTGTTTACACTAATCGATTAATGATCTTCTTAATAGACAACACTAAGAAATAAATATCTTGATTCACTCTAGATTATTTTGTTTCATTTCTTTTCACACTTGTCTAAGAAATAGACGTTAACATTAGAATTTATTCTATAAAACAATAATCTCAATGTTTTGGTAATCTACCAGTATTCATTTAACTATCTTGTTGAATGATGGATCGTGAAAATGCTTTTATCTATGAGATGATTAAATTCAAAGACTAATGGTAGCAGTTCGATACAATCAGAAATGTGGCGATGCGGAATGTGCATCTGTCTCTTTGAGAAAATTGTATATGTACTTTTCTCAGCTCTCAGAGCTTTTTCTGGTACCCGCATCTCCCTTCCTCTTTCGCATTTTTTTTCTTCTTCGTCATGTTTTTAATTCAGTAATATACAATTTATTGCTATCATAAATTAATCTGTAACTACGATACTAATCATTTGTATACTTTTTATAAATTTCTGAACGCGCCGATTATTCATTAATTTTTTTGTGTGTTGTTTTTGTTTTTTTTTTAATAATAAAATATTCATTTAATAATAAATGTATGACAGCAGTTGCCGGCTCATTGTGGCCCGCACTGCTTTCAATTCCAATATTATTCATAAGTAAACATCGACAATGACTAGTTTAAGTTCTTCACATGATGATTTTCAATCAATAACTATTTCAGAAGAGTCCACTGTAAGTGAAGGTACACGTCGTTTACTTTCACCATATAATCGTAATCGATTTGATGCTCTCAATCGTGATATACAAAATGAATTAACTAAAGTGAAAGATACATTTCGTACAATAACAATTGATCTTAATGCATTTCAAGGTGGACCAGAACAATTAAAAGAATTTAAAGATAAAATACGTCATATGAATCGTATATTATTAACTGTTAAACAACGTCAAGATATTTTAGATGATCGAAATGAACAAATGTTACTTGATTTACAAAATCATATATGGGAAATAGCAAAATATGCCGTACGTATTGAAATTTATTTATGTGCTATTGAACGAATGAAAAATACAGCTAATGAATTATTACAAATGGCTAAAAAAATTTCACATAATTCTTCGAATGAATATGATGAATTAATTGAAATTGGTACTAAACTTAAAAATGAAATAAATCTATTAGAAACACGTGCAAAAATTGATTGTCATAATATTAATATACGTGAAAATCTCGATAAATTACAACAACGTTGTGAAACTATTTTAAATACCAATGAACGAACACAATTAAAAACTTTGCGTAATTTTCAAGTAAAAAAATCTATACTTAACCATTGTCGAAATCGACTCTTCGATTAAATCTTGTTTTGTTTCACATATTTACCGATTTTGTAAAAAAGAAAAAAAGAAATCAGTATGTATCTATGTCTATGTACATATATATATATATATATATATATCTATTTATGCATGGAATATCTGCGTATTGCTTCAGTGAGACAATATTGTGACATTTTGCAAATTAAGATAATTGATAAGATGGAGAAGTAGCAGTGACAATAACACTCGTCTGGCTTTTTTTCTATATTCTGTTTTTGCAATCAAAAGTTACATATCAGCCAACATTATTGACGTCATTAACAGAAAAAAAAAGAGAAGGAGAGATAGAGAGATAATAATCACTGACACAACATCAATTTTTTTCCATACTTGTTATTTCCTTGATATGTCTTCTTTTATTTGTTTCATCAAGAGCAAACAAATCATCTTTCATATTTGTTCGTCTGTATTATCGATCGAATGCATGATAATAGACATTGAGTAAATGTAAGGATTTACGATAAAGAAGCTAACGAGATTATTATTGACAACAATCATCTTGTCATCGAATGACGTAGCTAATATGGAATAAAAAGAATCAGAAATTTATTGAGAGACTAGGCTCTTGTAGAATAATAAAAAGATATTGATAAAACATACATGTATATTCAAAGCCAATAATATATTGACATACATTTAACATGACACAGTTGACAGTTTGCTAGACATCACGTTGCGTTCTGATATGTGTTTAGAGTTTATACATAAAATGTTATATAATGAGAAAAGCATCAAACAAGAATCTATAAATATCAATAATTTCCTTCATACTGTTATGTGCAAATATATAGAGGAAATGCCATTAGATTCAGGAGTTGGATATGTTAAATTAGATTAAATGAAATAGAATGTTATTTTTCATGAAATTACAAATAGATAAATGTCATTGTGGAATAGTAGATGATGATTTTTCTTCATCTATACACTAATTTCTTACCAATTCCAGTTTAAAACATCATTGACATAGTAAAAGGACGAAAAAAGATCTCAAGATCGAAACAATTCTTACTCATACATAAAAAGATTGTTAATATTACTACAATAAATACGAGATAAATATAGATATATACTAAGATTCTACATCGCCTTTATCATTTCTTCTACATTTTGTACGTCTATATTTAACAACAACCACACAGAAACCTTATGTTGATATTATGTCTTTCATAATATTATTAATGAAGACAAGATTAAAGGTATGTTATATTCAATGTATTTATAATATGACACTTTTTTTCAATTTTATATGAAGATAACTATCTCTAATGGAAGGACGCGTTAATTCATAAAAATAAAATAATCATCTTCTATTTATTTAATTTCTAGAATCTTTTATAAACCTTGACTGCTTCAATATTTAGTGTAGGAATGTTTTGTTTCAACTTTATATTAAATCAAGTCCATTCAACGAAACCGTATACTTGATAAGTTTAGTCTTTTGTTGAAAGAAACTTTAGACTTTCGTCTTACTAAATGCGTAGAAAGATAACTGTTATCTGTTCAAGTTTACTTTCTTTTTTTTCTCTCCTAGTTATGATTCATTACTTCGAATATTTTTATTAGTGTTAAGCATAATATATATGTTGAGGAATTTGTACATAATCATAAATATATAAAGAAAATATAAGTGGAAAATCACCTTGATATGGATAGGTGCTTAACAATGAATTGTGCATAGAACAAAAGAAAAAATCAACTATCAAAATAACAAAGATGAAAAATTGAATCATATTTTTTTTTGTTTTCATTTCCTAACATTTTTGCCATTCTCAAATGTTAATAATAAACAAAAGAAAAAAGGAAACGTATAAATGTGTATATCGGAAAACTTTTTCATTCATTTTATCCATTGCGTACTTTGCCTGGTGAATATGTTTCAGGATCAATTTTTTCTTCTTGAAGAAAAACATGAAGTGCACGTTCATTTTGTGCTAATGGATGACCAGCAATTCTATACAATAAATAATATTTTGTAAACAAAAATAGAAAAAATTGTTTTTTTTTCTACATACTTATTAATAAACTCTTCAAGTCCTTTACGTCTATCTTCAATAAAATCATCATCAAATATACCATCATTATTACGAAGAAATGCAGGTATCTGTCGTTCCCATGCTTTGCCAGGTAATGGTGGAACGAGAATCTACTTACGAAAAATCGTTATTAATTTTGTTCAATGAAAAGAAAAATTAATTAAGTTTTTTTTTCTTTACTTTGCTATCGCGTTCAAGTTCTTTACGTAACCAGTCAAAATCCGAATAACGACGACGTACAGAACATTCTTTTAAACGAAATACAGGTAAATTAGTCTAAAATAAATAATAAAATTTTTTAAAAACTAAGAATCGAAAATAAAAAAATCATTTTACTTTCATGCGAATTTCATAATCAGTATAGCGATTACCAGATAGACCATGAGTTATTGGATTTGCAACCTCAATTTCTAAAAAATTATCTGGTGGTTCATAACGATCTTGAGAAGAAATCTGAAGCACAAAAAAAAAAAGAATTCTTTTGTCGACTTATTCATTTCAAAGTTCATTACTTGCTGAGTTGGTAAACGAGCTATTTCCGGTCGAGTTTCTGTACCCTGTACAGGCATTGATAAATTCTATCTAAAAATAAGCAGAAGATAAAAATTAAAAAACACCCGAGCACAGTATTCTCAAATTACGAATAAGAACGCATTTCATCCAGCTGTTCACGCGAAAAGAAAACGAAAAAAAATGATAAGAAGAAGACATGGCAAAGGTTATTACTATGAATCCTCTGTGGATGCTTATCAACCATCTTCATACGAAAAAATATAGTGCATTGATCGTTTAATTAAAAATACACAATATGAGTTAATATTAATTAGTCTTGAATAATAGCGACGCATCATTTTTTTTGTCGGTATCATTTTTGAAAGAATTGATAATTGATGAACTAATTATAAATGTCTTAGATTTTTATAAAACCAATTCAGATTTTTGTTTTATGTTAGAATACATTTTCTATCAGTTAATTTCAAAATAAATATTTTTACAGTCGATATAGGTCATATAAAGAAAAAACGATATGTTCCTATAATCTTCAATGTTTTATGATGGTCACAGTTTCATCATATCTCGTTGACAAATATATTATTATTACATCAGTTCTATGATGATACATAATTATTGAAACTCTTAGTTGGTATGCATTTTTTTCGATGACAAGCCGATTGCTTTGTTTTCACTATGTTAATGAAATTATATTTATTTATTTGTTTGAAACAACAAAACGAACGTACGTCTCGAACATCTCTTAAATCAAAGACACTGTTTTGCAATAAACTAGAGTGTATTTCAACATTAGCATTTCAAAATATTGTCATATGATTACGAAATTTGAATCATTACGTTCTAATGATCGATTAATTAACATGATCAATGATGTGGAACAATACTTTTACTCACTATTCAGTTACATACAGTGCATAATAATTTTTGAAAAATTGCGTCAAAAAAAATATAAAATATTTTTTCATGATCGAGAAAAATGATTCTTTTATAAAGAACGAAAAATACATTTTTTTT